TTTTTGTCTCGTTGATCGGTTTATTTACCAACGGAATGTAACTCAATTTCAGGTGTGCATTAGCTCTATCTATCCCAATCTTACTGCATATCTTATCTACTAACACCGAGTAAGTTATCTCTTCCACAGATAAGTTCCTAAATGGTATAACATAGGTGGAATTACTTGTAAACCATTTCAACTCCCCTCCGTCACGTGAATAAATCCCTCCATAGTCAAAATATATGTTTGTGTGGTTGGTGCTCATGCTCTCCTGAAAATATAATGAAAATAGTCGATCAGTTGAACTCAATTGAACTCAATTGAACAAAAAGTACCACAGTTATACCAGTTGAACTCAATTGAACTACATTGAACTCAGTTGTACCAGTTAAACTACACCTCTCATTTGCACCACGTGTACCAGTTGAACCCAATTTAACTCAGTTGTACCAGTGCAGCTATACCTCATGTACCAGTTATACTAGTTGAAATCAGTTGAACTAAAGTGAACTCAGTTGTACCAGTTCAACAACACCTCTCATTTGTACTAGTTGAACTCAATTGAACTAAATTGAACTCAGTTGTACCAGTTGAACTATAGCTCTCATTTGTACCAGTTGAACTTAAGTTTTCAGTTGTTCCAGTTCGCTCTCAATTGTACCAGTTGTACCAGTTGTACCATTTTTTCCTATCAAAAATCTGGGAATTTCGAGCTCGACTTTCGTTGTTCTTCATTATGAATCTGATTAACATAACCACGTTCTTCTCACAAATTACCGAACCTATGGCTTAATCTATCCACAATACATTGTTACCAACCCAGATCTCTAATTTTTCAAATCTAAAGCCCTAATTTTACACTTTAATTGAAATAAAAGAAATCACCTTCAAAATATGAGATATTCAACAATGGCAGAAAGATGATTGGAATTCTGGGGCGGACGAAGTGGAGAAAGCGTCGATCTACGTTGGACGAAAAGGATGACGAAAGAAGAAGCTCAGGGAAGGAGCTTGGAAACCAAAAGAGAGCCCGGGTGAGAAGAGAGAGGAGGAGCTCGAGCTCAGCAAGGCTGCGGGGGAGGAGGATCGAGATTCAATTTTCTTTTCTTTTTTCAAAATTATTTTTATTTACTTTTACTTCTTTTATTTCTTTTACTTTTACTAATTTATTTTTACTTGGTTAATTTCAGTAATTTTGATTAAGGATTGATTTGTAATTTCACATCTCATTTAAATGAGAGAGTGGCATTAGATTATGGCGGTCCAGATCAATTTTTCTGCCAAAATGACATTTCAGCTCTTTACTCCATCTCAATCTCCCGTAACTCTCTTTCTCTCTTGTTGGGTTTTATCAATTATTGAATTTGATAAGTACCCTTTCACTGAATCATAGTCGTGTGAACTTCTTGTAGCTTAAATTATTAAAATGGCGATTGCAGTTTACTTTGCATTTTATGATTGCTGGATTTTACCTTCAAACTGTTTATGATTGCACTTTACTTTGCAGTTCCAATTAAAGCTTGTAAGATATCATAATAGTCTCGTTCTATCAGCTTGCCTCGTAACGGTGTCTATGGTTTTATGGTCTTCTCTTATGACTTTTTTCTTTTCTTTTCTGTTTTTGAATAAAAGTGTCGACTTTGTTGTTTATGTTTTATGGTTAAGGTCTGATGTGAGTTTCTTCTATATCACCTAATCAATGTCATCAGAAACCGTATGTTTATGTTGAATGGTGAAGTACTGCTTTTTAATTTCTTCTATAATTATTGCAGTTTTGTAAGATGTATGATTGCAGTTTACTTCATCGATGAGTTTGATTATGGAGTTGATTAGATGAGTTTTAATCTTAAATCATATCGATGAGTACACATACGTGGAGAGAAGGGAACGCATAAAACACATCGATGAGTACACATAAAACCATATTTTGTTTTGCATAGTTTGAAAAAGTTTTATGCGTTCATAGAATTAGTTAAATTATTGACGATACGATGATGTGTATGCCCTTGTCTTGATTTGCACGCCCTTGTCTTGATTTTTATATATTTATTTAATTTGGTATGTTGTCTTGTGTTGGTTTGAGTGATGAATGATTGTTGCGGGGTGTCTATTTCAAGATTTTCTGTTGGCTATGAATATTGTAAAGCACCATTCAGTTTACTTTGCGGTTTGAAGCTTGTAGTTTGGCTACTGTTACTTTGTTTCTAGATCTATGTTCTATGTTCTATATATGGGATTATAACGAGTTTAGGTTCTGTAATCATCTCATAATCTCTGCTTGACATTAGATTTGACGACATTGTTCACTTGGATGTTGCTTATGAAATGCTTTTATCTTCGCTTATAAAAATGTATATTATATCTATCTATAATAACAAACTGAAAAAATGTCAAATGCACTTTGAAAAATTATGTCTTTTCGAAATTTATGGTTGTGTCTTTTCATTACAAATAGTTGCATCTTTTCACTATGAATGGTTCTATTTTTTCATCAACTATAATTTGTGTCTTTTCAAAATTATTTATACTGCTCAAAACCATAGAAAAAATCATTTAGATCTAACTTTTATTTTTTTACTATTGTGAGTTTTTGTTGTCGTAAACTTATTTATATATCATAACATATTATTAGGATACAAAGTGTTAAAAGTCCTGAAAGTTCAGATATTAAATTGAGTAAAAGATTCTATTTGGGGGTCCAATTTTAACTAAATATGAGCAATTTCATTACAAGATTGTTTTACATGCATTACATCAGAAAAATAAAATTTATTCTACCAAAATCTAATGATATTTTTATTATAAAGAAATGATATGTGTTTTGTTTACTAATATATATTATGTTATTTAATTTTTGCTTAACCATCCGAATAAATGCATTTACACTTTAAAAAATTGTGTCGTTTCAAAATTTATGGTTGTGTTTTTTCATTATAAATGGTTGCATCTTTTTATTATAAATGGTTGTGTTTTTTCATCACAACTGTTATTTGTGTCTTTTCAAAACTATTTATATTGCTCAAAACCACAGAATAAAAATCATTTGGGTCTAACTTTTACTTTTTTTTTTACTATGGTGGGTTTTTTTTGTCGCAAAGAATCCGAATAAATGCCACTTACACTTAAAAGTTGTGTCGTTTCAAAATTTGTGACTGTATCTTTTCATTATAAATAGTTTCGTTTTTTATCATAACTGTAATTTGTGTTTTTTTTTAAATTATTTATTGCTCAAAATCACAGAAAAAAATTATTTGGATCTAACTTTTACTTTCTTACTATACTGGATTTTTTTGTCGTAAACTTATTTATTTATCATAACATATTATCATGATATTTTAAAATTTATAGAGGTTCGGATATTGAATTTGAGTAAAAAAATTCCATTTGAGAGTCCAATTTTGGCTAAAATATGATAAGTTTTATTATAAGAATGTTTTACATGCATTACATCAGAAAAATAAAATTTATTCAACCAAAATCTAATGATATTTTTATTATCAAGAAATTATGTGTTTTGTTTACTAATATATATAATGTTATTAATTTTTTTTGTTAACAATCCGAATAAATCCCATTTACACTTTAAAAAGTTGCGTCGTTTCAAAATTTGTAGTTGCATCTTTTCATTATAAATGGTTGCATTTTTTTGTCACAACTCTTATTTGTATCTTTTTTAAATTATTTATATTGCTCAAAACCACAAAAAATCATTTGGGTCTAACTTTTACTTTCTTACTATGGTGAATTTTATTTTGTCGTAAACATATTTATTTATCATAACATGTTATCATGATAAAAAAATGTTTAAAAGTCCTGGAAGTTCAGATATTGAATCATAGTAAAAGATTCCATTTGAAGGTTTAGTTTTGGTTAAAATATAAGCAGTTTCATTACAAAATTGTTTTATATGCATTACATCAGAAAAATAAAATTTATTCAAACAAAATGTAATGATATTTTTATTATAAAATATTATATATTTTTTGTTTACTAATATATATTATGTTATTTTTTATGAAAAATATCTATATATTTATAGTTAATTGTGTTATTTTCAAATTTTAATATTCTTTGTTAGTTGTTTATAAATTTAATGTACCTAATATTTGAATTCTTTTTTCTAATTTGAGAGAATTCACATATATTTTATATATGCTAAGCTGTACAAACTATTAAATTCTGACTAATCATAAACTAGCTAGCAGCCACAAACTAACATATTTTTATCATAACTAGTTTGTACATTTCCATTTCTATAATAGTTAAAACTTTGATACATAAAGATTCGCAAGGTATCAAAGTTTTTATATTTTAACTATTATATTTGTAATATATTTTTTAATATTGCGAATCTTTTTTAGAAACTATAGTAGTCTTAGAAAATGTATTATAAAATTTCGTCACATTGTTTTTTATTACATATATTTTCTGTAGTATTTTTTTTTAAAATATCAATTTTTTTATCATAAATTTTTGTTTCTAACTTTTCAATAATAAATGTATAGTTTTATACATTTTTTTGAAAGATTGCCTGTATATTTATTTTTTATTTTACACTTTTGTGCAAGAAATTTTTTTAATAATTATACAAGTAGAAGATCTCATATTTATATTATATATTTATATTGTATATTTTCATTTATAACTTTTTTAACACTCTTAAAAAGTTGTATATCTTGTTATTTTTCAGTTTTTTTATTTTTTCTATTAATAATTAATAATAACAATCCTAAAAAATTTTGTAAAAATTTACATATTTTTATCATAATTAGTTTGTACATTTCCATTTAAAATTTATTGTTAATAATTAAAAAAACATGAAAATATCTTTTTCTTTTAATAATTATAAGTTGTTTTGAATATTTATATTTTTTATTATATATATTTTACTTATAATTATTTTAAATAAATTTTTGTTTAATTTTTAATAAACCACATATTAACTCCGCAAAGCAGAGGTCCTATTCCTAGTATATATATATATATACTTTCATATAATAAATTATTTATTGGCTACAGATTGAAAAAGTGAAGCAAAGAGACACGTGAATATGTATTTCCTCAGTTCTTTGAAGAATATGAGGTTGGGATTAATCTCAGTTCATCAGCGAATCTGATTCCGTCACTTTGTTCTTGCCCCTTTCTTCTTCTTTTTCCTTTCTTCTTCTTTTTCCTTTCTTCTTCTCTCTGTATACTATTTGGTTAGAAAATTTCATTACAAATTGCAGAAGTTTTAGTTTGATTTCATAAGCATCAAAAATCAAAGGTATAGCTCACTAATTTAATTCGCACAATTTCTGGGTTTGCTTGGTCCTACTTGATCACAATCCTCTTCCGATTGATGGGTCAAATTTAACTTCTAAAAAGTCAACATCTTTTTTTTGTTTTTCTCCTGTCTTTGTAGCAGATATGAAGCAGCTCTGGTCTTTGTTGTTCTTGTCTTGTCTTTGTCTTGGATTGTTCGGAAATGGACATTCTGTGAAGCCAACATCTGTCAAAATCGGTTCAATATTCAGTTTCGATTCAGTGATTGGCAAAGTTGCTAAGATTGCGATTGATGAAGCAGTGAAAGATGTGAATTCAAGTCCCGACATCCTCGGAGGAACACATCTTCAAGTTTCAATGCAGAACTCTAATTGCAGCGGTTTTATGGGCATGGTTGAAGGTACATTTTGGACAGAGGTCATCACTATTTTGGATTTTTTTAGTATTTTTGTTTGTTTGTTTTGGTAATAAATTATGTTTGTTGTTGTAGCATTGAGGTTTATGGAGAAGGACATAGTTGGGATCATAGGACCACAATGTTCTGTAGTTGCTCATATGATATCTCATATGGCTAATGAACTTCGTGTGCCTCTTCTCTCATTTGCTGTAACGGATCCTGTAATGTCGCCACTTCAATTCCCTTATTTTATTAGGACGAGTCAGAGCGATTTATATCAAATGGATGCTATTGCTTCGATTGTTGACTTCTACGGTTGGAAAGAAGTAATAGCTGTGTTTGTGGATGATGATTACGGAAGAAACGGTATCGCTGCCCTTAATGATAAGCTTGCGAGTAGGAGATTGAGAATCACTTACAAGGCCGGTTTACACCCGGACAATGCCGCGAATAAGAATGAGATCATGAACATACTCATTAAAATCATGTTGCTTCAGCCTAGAATCATTGTGATTCATGTCTACTCGGAATTGGGTTTTGCGGTTTTTAAGGAGGCTAAGTATCTAGGAATGATGGGAAATGGGTATGTTTGGATTGCTACGGATTGGCTGTCTACTACTCTTGACTCTTCGTCTCCGCTTCCCTCAGAGAGACTTGAATCTATTCAAGGTGTTCTTGTCCTCCGTCCACACACGCCTGATTCGAAATCTAAACGGGAGTTTTTCTCTAGGTGGCGTAAGATCCCTGATGCTCCATTGGCTCTTCACACATATGGTCTCTATGCTTATGACTCGGTTATGCTCTTAGCGCGTGCTTTAGATAAGTACTTTAAAGACGGTGGGAGAATTTCGTTTTCGAATGACTCAATGCTTGATGATTTGGGGAAAAACGGAAACCTCAATTTAGAAGCGATGACAATCTTTGATGGTGGAGAAACTCTGCTTAAGGATATCCTCGGAACGCATATGGTTGGTTTAACGGGACAGATTCAGTTCACCTCAGATAGGTCTCGGACTAGTCCAGCTTATGATATTATCAATGTGGCGGGAACCGGTGTTCGCCAAATAGGCTACTGGTCGAATCATTCTGGTTTATCAGTTGTGCCACCTGAGTCACCCAACACGAATAAGCAACCGAATATGTCTTTTGGTACAACAACTAGTCCGAAACTGAGGCATGTGATTTGGCCGGGAGAAACGTTTCAAAAGCCACGCGGATGGGTTTTTTCTAACAATGGGAAAGAGCTCAAAATCGGTGTGCCTCGTCGTGTTAGTTACAAGGAGTTTGTGTCACAGATTCGTGGAACCGATAATAGTTTCAAAGGTTTCTGCATAGATGTCTTTACAGCTGCAGTGAACCTCTTACCGTATGCAGTCCCTTTCAAGTTTATTCCTTATGGTGACGAAAAGGAGAATCCGAGCTACAGCCATATGGTTGAGATGATAACAACTGGTGTGAGTGACTGTTGCATTCTTTCTGATAAAAGTCATTTTTTTGTTCATTTCTTCTTATTTTTAAATTGGAAACACTGCAGAATTTCGATGGGGTAGTGGGTGATGTTGCCATCGTAACAAACCGGACAAAGATTGTGGATTTTACACAACCGTATGCAGCATCAGGACTAGTTGTTGTTGCTCCCTTTAAGAAACTGAATTCAGGAGCTTGGGCTTTTCTCCGACCTTTCAATCGACTTATGTGGGCAGTCACGGCTTGCTGCTTTCTCTTTGTGGGCATTGTTGTTTGGATCTTGGAACATAGGATTAACGACGAATTCAGAGGCCCGCCCAAGAGACAATGCGTTACAATTCTCTGGTTAGTGTAGCACTATTTCAGAGCAGAGCCTACAAATAGAAAGAACAAGTCTCAATTATCTTCAAGAAGTTGATCAAGTTTATGTTTTCCTCTGCTGTACCACTTACTGTTTGTTTGATATCTGCAGGTTTAGCTTCTCGACCATGTTTTTCGCCCATAGTACGTGAAATTGAAAAGAAGAGGAAACTTACCATCTTCACTTATGATTTCTTGCTTTGACTGACACAAAGCCTTTGCCCTTTGGTTTTGGCAGGAGAGAACACAGTTAGTACACTTGGGCGGCTGGTTCTGATCATATGGCTATTCGTTGTACTAATAATAAACTCGAGTTACACGGCTAGTCTCACATCGATCCTCACGGTTCAGCAGCTTTCCTCACCCATCAAGGGAATCGACAGCCTTAGAGAAATGGATGAACGGATCGGATACCAGGTGGGTTCATTTGCAGAGCGTTATTTGAGAGATGAGCTCAACATATCAGAGTCGCGTCTCCTCGCGCTTGGATCACCTGAAGCATATGCCAAGGCTTTAAAAGATGGACCAAACAAAGGAGGCGTTGCTGCAATTGTTGACGAGCGTCCCTATGTCGAACTCTTTCTCTCTAGCAATTGCGCTTATAGGATCGTCGGTCAGGAGTTCACCAAAAGTGGCTGGGGATTTGTAAGTTTTCATATATCCCAAAATTCCCTAACCCGAGCCCTGAACCCAAACCCAAACCGAATTATCTGATCTAAAACCAAACCAACCCAATTTTTTAAAACTAAACTGATTAGCCACAATATAATTAAAGAGTTAATTAGTATATTGAAAAATATATTCAAGTATATTAAATTCCTTGTTTTTGACTTTATTTTAATTTTTTTTCTAAAGTTCAACCACAGTTAATTAGTTTGGGGGTTTTATTATAATTTTATTCTTTCTAAAACAAACATATAACTTGATTGCAAATGAGATTTATAATCTAAAACTTGAAAACATGAAATCCAAACCGAACTGGATTGAACTATAGTTTAATCCCGAACTGAATAGAGCTAGAAAATTAGTACTTAAATAATCGAAATCGAACTGAGGCGAATTTAATGATTTGAGCAAAGGGCATAGCAGGTGGGCATTTTTGTTTTGTATGGTTCGGTTTGGTTATTAGTTTGTTCGGTTTTGTTAAACATAAAGAATTGTTACTACATTCTGTTTTAATAATTTTGGTTCGATACGGTTAATTTTTATGCTCATTTAGTTTTCAATGGTTTTTTCTTTCCTAGGCATTTCCTAGAGACTCTCCACTAGCAATAGATATGTCAACAGCGATCTTGGAGCTAGCAGAGAACGGAGATCTGCAGAGAATCCACGATAAGTGGCTAATGAAGAACGCGTGCACTCTAGAGAACGCGGAGCTTGAATCAGACAGGCTTCATCTGAAAAGTTTCTGGGGGCTTTTTCTCATATGTGGAGTTGCGTGCGTCCTCGCTCTCTTCCTCTACTTTATACAGATCATCCGTCAACTCTATAGTGGAAAGCCAAACGAGGATGATGATGCCATTGGGAAAGAGAATCATGACTCATCCTCCTTGCGTTCTACGCGTCTTCAGAGATTCTTCTCGCTCATGGATGAGAAAGAAGATATGTCTAAGGCGGGAAGCAAGAAGAGAAAGATTGATGGATCAGTGAACGATACTTCGGGGTCGAGACATTCACGAGGATTTGACAGAGAAAGAAGCTTTAATTCGGTAAACCCATTAGATTGAAAATGTACTTACAGAGACGTATAGTGATTATTTTTTATGACAATCTTGATGAATTGGATCGTTTCTTTGTGTATTCCTAGACGAAATTGTTGTAAATCCGTTTCTGAGTATTCCTTTATCATTTCATCCTGCTGGAATAGTTCCTCTAATTGTATGAATTTTTCTAGAACACTTTTTTCGTGAATAACACTGATTATAATTTCAAAGTTTACCCAAGTTGTATGTATTCCTTGATTCTGTAATCTTAAACTTAGGAGTTTTTGAGTCCTTTAATAAAAGTATTGACGAGTTCACATAAAAAACAAGAAAAGCGACGCATTATGCCTTGTTTATTCAATAACTGATAATATAAAACGATCTTAATGAAAACATTTATATTGCAAACACAAAACATTTTGAGTAGCTGTACCAAATCTATACGCTAAAATAAAGGAGTACCAACATTTTCACAAACTTTAACAACCACACACTAGCTTAGGGCTGACGATCTGAAACGTTGAACGAAACCATACCGTGATAATTTACAATTAAATTATTTGGGACCAGAGGTTGTCTCTTTCAGAGTTTGAGAGCCCAGACGCCAAGGCCACGGCATTCGAAATCCTCATCCAATCCTTCCACGAATTAATAAATTTCTTTCCATTCGATAGTACCCAACAATTAAAACCTCACCACACAAAAAAAAAAAATATATATAAAAGTTTCTTGATTCCCCAATTAAACCCTCATCCTCGTTATCCTTCTTCTAGGGACCAAATAAACCCAAACTCATGGCGGCTGAATATTCCGGTAGCCGGAGTTCTAATACACAGCTTCTCGCTGAACTCGAAGCCCTAAGTGAAAACCTTTACCAGAAACCCCAGGCTTCAGTTGGTCGGAGAACTAATTCACTCGCTCTGCCTCGCAGTTCTGTTCCGTCCCTCGTGACGTGTGCCGATGAAGGAGAGTCGAGGATGTAACAATACCGAAACCGCGGTCTCGGCGTTTGTTGCTGTCACCATGGCGGTCAAGACCGAAGCTTGAGGTAGAAGAGGAAGAGACTGTGGATACGACTCAGAACAGAATCAACAAGAGACCAGAAGAGTCGTCATTGGGATCAATTGCGAAGGAAGAGAGAAAAGGGATATGGAATTGGAAACCGATTCGCGGGCTGGTCCGAATTGGAATGCAGAAACTGAGCTGTTTGTTATCGGTCGAGGTCGTGGCGGCCCAGAATCTACCGGCGTCGATGAACGGTCTACGCCTTGGTGTTTGCGTGAGGAAGAAGGAAACAAAAGACGGAGCCGTCCAGACGATGCCGTGTCGGGTTTCTCAAGGAGCTCCGGATTTCGAGGAGACGCTGTTCATCAAGTGCCACGTGTACTACTCGCCGGCTAACGGGGAGGGTGCTCCGGCGAAGTTCGAGGCTCGTCCGTTTTTGGTTTATCTATTCGCCGTCGACGCTAAGGAGCTTGAGGTCGGAAGGCACATGGTTGATCTGTGAGTTGATTCAAAAGTCTGTGGAGAAGATGAGTTACGAAGGAGCTAGGGTTAGGCAATGGGATATGAGTTGGGGGCTTTCAGGTAAAGCCAAAGGAGGTGAATTGGTTCTAAAATTAGGAGAAAGACGGTGGAGCTGGGATTTACAGTAAACAAGGTGAATTAGGGATTAAACCGAGTAGTAAACCTAAGAATTTGTCAGGTTCCTTTGGGCGAAAGCAATCAAAAACTTCGTTTAGTGTCCCAAGCCCTAAGATGACGAGCCGCAGCGAGGCCTGGATGCCAGCGACAGGTGCGGAATCTGCATCGGGCCTTCAAGGGATTGAGCATTTGAATCTTGATGAACCAGAGGAGAAACCGGAGCAGAAACCAGAGAAAACAGAACAGAGAGATGAAGATGATCAAGAACCTGATTTCGAAGTTATTGAAAAAGGAGAAGATCAGGAACCTGATTTTGAAGTTGTGGACAAAGGAGTTGAGTTTGATGACGACACTGAGACTGAGAAATCCGATGGAACCGTTGGTGAAAGATCCATTGAGTTGAAGGAACAACATGTTAATGTTGATGATCCACGGCACATAATGAGACTAACCGAGTTAGATTCTATTGCAAAGCAGATCAAAGCGCTTGAATCTATGATGAAAGACGATAGTAACGGAGCGGAAGGTGAAACAGGGTCACAGAGACTGGATTAAGAGGAACAGACTGTGACAAAGGAGTTCCTTCAGTTGCTTGAAGATGAAGAATCCGAGAGTCTCAAATTCTACCAGCATAAAATGGAGATCTCTGAGCTACGCTCTGGCGATTCAGTAGAAGATGAAACTGAAAAATACCTATCAGATCTCGGTAAAGGCATCGGTTGCGTTGTTCAGACGAGAGATGGTGGTTACTTAGTGTCTATGAACCCTTTTGACATGGTGGTCATGAGGAAAGACACTCCTAAAGTCGTTATGCAAATCTCGAAACAGATTGTGGTATTACCAGAAGCCGGATCAGTGACTGGATTCGAGTTGTTTCACAGAATGGCTGGTTTGGGTAAGGGTAAAGAACTTGATTCGAAGATATCTTCGCTTATGGCGATAGACGAGTTAATAGGGAAGACAGGGGAGCAAGTGGCTTTTGAAGGAATAGCTTCAGCTATTATACAAGGGAGAAACAAAGAGCGAGCGAACACAAGCGCGGCAAGAACGGTTGCAGCTGTTAAAACGATGGCTAACGCGATGAACAACGGGAGAAGGGAGAGGATAATGACAGGAATCTGGAATGTGGAGGAGAATCCATTGACTTCAGCAGAGGAGGTTTTAGCTGTTTCTTTACAGATATTAGAAGATATGGTGATTGAAGGACTAAAGATTCAAGCTGATATGGTGGAGGACGATTCTCCTTTCGAGGTTTTCGCTGCCAAAGGTCAGCCGAATCCATTGGAGTTGACCATCCCGCTCGATGAGTGGCTCATGGAGAATCGGACGCAAAAATCGCTGACGGTTTTAGCGACAGTGCAACTCCGAGACCCGACGAGGAGATATGAGGCAGTGGGAGGGGTGGTCGTGGTGGCGGTGCAGGCGGAAGAGGAGGAGAACGGGTTAAAAGTGGGAAGTTTGCACGTTGGGGGAGTGAAGAGAAATGCAGCGGAGAGGCGGAGGTTGACGGCGGCACAGTGGCTTGTTGAGTACGGAATGGGAAAGAAAGGGATGAAGAAGAGTGATGTTAAGAGAAAGGAGAAAGAAGGAGAAGAGGTAGACTTGTTATGGAGCTTGTCGTCTAGAGGTATGGCGGATATGTGGCTCAAATCTATAAGGAACCCTGATGTGAAGTTGCATAGCTGAGGTTAAGATATTCACTTTAAACAATAATATGCGTTTGTTAATAAAGTTTGTATGGTTATAAATAATTTATTATTATAAGTGGGATATCTGTTTAATATATATATTCATAAATATATTTTAAATAAAGAGATGGAGAGGAGATGTGAGCGGGAAGGGTATGGAAGAGAGAAGAGATGAAGTTCATTTCTCATTCATGTGGATAATGTTATTCATGTTGATAATGTTATAACAAAATTCTTATTTATAGTAAATATTTGCTTAGTTTAGTAAATAAGCTTTAATTAATAAGGATAAAGAGTGGATATTATTATCTATTTAATACTATCTCTTGATTATTTAACACTATTTTGTTAAAAATTTTATCATAGAAAAATACGTTTGGAATAAAAATTATGATGAAGGAAAAAGAGTGCAGTAATGCTCCTCTTGGAAATAATGGATATAATCTTTTCTTCATAAATCTCGGAGATGACGCATTCTGATGCTATGAACATGTTTTCTGAATGATGTGGTGGGAAATATGTAACACTCGTGATCTTCGAATCAAAACTGAATCAGTCAGATAAAGACCATGAGTTGGAAAATCCAGGAGGTTTACTAAATAAAGATTGGGCTATTAGATGGAAAAGAAGAATAGCCGAGCTAAAACGAGCTGGATCGGGTCAGTTCAGCTGATTCGAGTGTTTAGCCGGGAAGAAATGGTTCGGACAAGCGAAAATCCGACAGTCCGCGAAATTGGGACAGTTGGTCGGATTTCCGACAGGCTAGTTAAGTGAAGTCCAAGCTGAGATGAGCTGAGCTGATTATGTCTGAGGAAAATTGGGACTCAGACAAGGTAGCTTCGGACAAACCGTATTTCTCGGGCCTTTGGTCGGGATTCGGACAGGACGGTTATTTTTATCGGAGCCGAGTTGGAATGATCGATGAACTTTGTGGAATTATCAGATGAATTATGAAATATCCGCTAAGTATGAAAATAGCCGAGCGGGAGCAGTTATATTCGAGGGAGTTATTGGAAAAGGCGCGGATAAGATTGGCGGGAACGGTTATAGATTATATCCGAGAGAACTGCTCGGATAAACTTCAACCAGGCCGGCTATTTCAGTAAACCAAGCCAAATTCACCGGTTAAGGGACGGAAACATCAATCTGGGCCGGCTAAGTTAATTGATCGAGTGGAAAAATGCAGGAACGGTTACTGATCCTTGGTTTCTCAAAGTAAAACGCAGCGGATTGAGTTATCAAGCAGTTACATCCAAGAACTGTCATTTAACTCGGGGAAAACACAAAAACTTCATCATTCTGCCTAAGTATCCGAAAGAAAAACAGAGAGAAAGTCCAGAGAGCGATTTCATCTGAGAGACTGAGATTTGTCCGAGAGATATTCGAGAGTTCACCGAATCCGATCGTGAGATAGCCGGGTGATTCCGACTGTCGCCAAGAGACTTCGACTACGTCCGAGAGAAACGTTCTGAATCGGGGAGTTCTTCTGAAACCGTCGGCTATCTTCTTGAATCTGCAACAGTCGAGAAACTAAGGTGAGTGCGTGACTGTGGGCTAAAGTTTAGACTCGTTACCTAGCATAGATTCGATTATTTACTGATTGCTTGAACTGTTCTATGGTACCTTTACTGTTATATTCTATTTCTCTGCATAATAGTGAAGGCCCGAGGCCAAGTTAGGTTTAATAGCCGAATGAGGTCCGATGACCATAGAAGGCCCGAGGCCAAAGTGAGGCCCGAGGCCATATGAGGGCTGTTTAGCCGATCATTAACTGTTTAAGTGATTACTGGATGATTGAATGGACTGTTTGATTGCAATTTTCTTTACTGTGGCTAAGTGGGATGGGATGACCGCTCTCACTAAGCAATCCGTTTGCTTATGCCTCCTTTTTATAGATGCATGTGATTTAGCCCGTGAAGAGAACTGATCTGGACCGTGGGACTAAGGCATGAAAGGAAGGATGTTAGGTTTGGGTAGATTATGGTCAAGTAGAACAATGTAATAGCTTATAGCAGACTTTATTAGCTTATAGCGAACCTTCATTGTATGCTTGAACCTCGTTTTATCTAAGTTATGCATTTATGTTTCAATGGCTTGACTAAAACCGAGTAAAAACGCTGAAAAATGACTAAGTATAGAAAAAGTTAAAAATTACCCGAGACTGGCCAGGAAGTGGTCGAGTCAAATCCTTACCGCAGTTCGGATTTTTGGGTTAGGGCGTTTCAATTTGGTATCAGAGCGTGGTCGGTTCTAGGACAAGTCTTTTTGCATAAGTGGGGTAGTGGGAAACATCCTTCCAGGATGATGTCTCACGGTAAGTTGTTTTCTGTGAAAACTTAGTTGATAGTGGCAAGCTTAGTTATGAGATTTTACCTTGCAGATGGCTAAGGGACAGCGTTATGGTAGGAGAACTGCAAGGGAGACTGGGGAAAACTCGGTTAACAGAGCTGATGGTCAGGGGGATGAGAATAACCGTGAGAATACTGAAGTGAACACGGCTGGAAACAATGTTGCTGCAGCTAATGCTGGGATAGCCGGGGGAAATGCTGGGATTCGGAACATGGCGGCTGCTGCTGCGGCTGCTGCTGCTGCTGCTACGGCTCCTATTGGATTAGAGGCAGTGTTGGGCATGCTGGCTCAAGTCTTGCAGAGACTGCCGGCTGCTGCACCTGCCCAAGTGAACCCACTGCCGGTGGTGAATGAAGAACCGGATGTGGAAGAAGTAGAAGTTGTTGCTGCGCAGAGGGTTCCATCTTATCTGAAGGTGATGGAACATATCCAGAAGTTGGGGACGTTCTTCACGGGTGGTGGTAAGCCTATGGAGGCGGATGATTGGATCAATCGACTAGAAAGGAACTTTGATTCCATCCGTTGTCCTAATGGCTATAAGACGGATATTGTGGTCCACTACTTGGAAGGGGATGCGCATGTTTGGTGGAAAGGTGTAGTGACTCGCCGTGATAGCCGGGTTACTAATTGGGGAAACTTTTGTGTGGAGTTCAAGAAGAAATACTTCCCACGTGAAGCTTTCATCCAACTGGGAGGTGCTTCCATAGACCTTCAGCAAGGATCTATGACCGTGAGGGAATATGAAGCTGAGTTTAATCGACTCAAGAGGTATGGTGGCCGTGACTTGGAAGATGATGAGAATCAGGTCCGCAGATTTATGTGCGGTTTGCGAGTTGAGCTAAGCAACCATTGTAAGATCCGAAACTATACTACTGTGGCCGAGCTGGTTGAGAAAGCAGCCGAGCAAGAGGCGGGATTGGCTGAGGAAGCAAAATTGCTGGGTCATGCATCATCGGTTAAAACCACGAGTGTTTCTGGGAAAAATCCGAAGTTTGGAAAGAATGCACCATCGGGCAAGCCTTCGGCTGGACGGATAGCATGTATGACTTGCAGGAAACTGCATGATGATCAGTGTAGGAAAGCTTCAGGAGCGTGTCACCGTTGCGGTAGTCAGAGTCACATGATCCGCGACTGCCCTGAACCGGATCAGAGGGTTTGTTTCAATTGTGGGGAAACCAGACATTACAAGGACAAGTGCCAGAAGCTAGTGCAGCAGCAAGCCGGGAAACGTGCAAGTGATGGACAATATCCGCAGGCAAAGAGGCAGCCCATAATGCCGCGGGTGTACTCCATTGAAGAGGACATTGCCAAGGGAAGCACTTCCCGTCTGATCACTGGTAAGCTCTAGTCCCTTACCTTAGTATTTTTCTTGGTAAAAAGTGCTTGTTGCTTGCTAGTCTAGGTTCTTAGCATTCGGATAATGTGTAGGGACTTTAATCATGGGTGGGGTGGCAACCCATGTATTGTTTGACTCTGGGGCATTGCATTGCTTTGTTCACCCGGATATGGTTAGATCCGGTGAGTTCCTGAGAGAACCCGGTGATGACTTCGGTTTAGTTCAAGCAGTCGGTGGTCAAGTGATGTTTACCCTGGGAAAAATTCGAGACGTCTCTGTGATGACGGAGAGGTAAACATGTCGGCTGACTTGGTGATCTGTAGAGTGAAGACTTATGATGTGATCCTCTGAATGGATTGGCTCGGGAAGTATAAGGCACATCTAGACTGTCACCGAGGCAGAGTTCAGTTTGAAACAGATAAGGGAAAGCTGGTGTATCAGGGTATCCGATCAACATATGGCAGCTTGATTGTCTTGGCGATTCAAGCAGAGAAGATGATGGAGAAAGGCTGCGAAGCTTACTTCGCTACAATCAACACTGTTGAAGTTGGTCCAGATATGCAACTTAGTGAGATCCCGGTTGTAAGTGAGTTCGGAGATGTGTTCCATGCGTTGAGTGGATTACCTCCGGGACGGTCTGATCCATTCACTATCGAGCTGGAGCCTAGGACATCTCCTATATCTAAGGCACCGTATCGGATGGCTCCTATCGAGATGGCTGAGTTAAAGAAACAGTTGGACGAGCTGACAGAGAAAGGATTTGTTCAGCCTAGCAGTTCACCGTGGGGTGCACCGGTTCTGTTTGTCAAGAAGAAAGATGGTAGTTTCAGACTCTGCATAGACTACTGTGGGTTAAACCGAGTAACAGTGAAGAACAAGTATCCTCTTCCGAGGATAGACGAGTTGTTGGACCAACTCTGAGGTGCTACTATGTTCTCCAAGTTAGATTTGGCTTCGGGTTATCATCAGATTCCGATAGCCGAGACAGATGTTCGGAAGACAGCCTTTCGAACAAGGTACAAGCACTATGAGTTCGTGGTGATGCCCTTCGGCTTAACTAATGCACCGACTGCATTCATGAAACTGATGAACAGCGTGTTCAGGGACTGTCTGGATGAGTTCGTGATCATCTTTATAGATGATATCCTGGTTTATTCTAAGAACCCGGAGGAGCATACAAAGCATCTGGCCACGGTCATGGCTAGACTAAGGGAACATAAGCTATTCGCCAAGCTTAGTAAGTGCAGCTTTTGGCAGAGGGAGATTGGTTTCTTGGGTCATGTGGTCTCGGACAAAGGAGTGTATGTTGATCC